TCGATTGAGACGACTGGTTCGGTCCAACACTTGAGCATAGCATGTAGATGCATATAACTTTGTCCCGGTATGGCACGTTCTGAAGAGGAACTCACGCGGCTCATCACAGAGTGAGGAGTGGCCTCTTCGGGCTCCAGCAGCGCCAAGATACTCGAAACATGAGCCTTCCAAAAAAGTTTGGAAAACAGCGTGCCGTTTGGTCTTCTGCAGGGTACTCTGGTCAGAAAGCGCACCTGTCTGCGTGCCTGTAGGAAGCAACAAGCAACCTGCACGGCTTAACTACGAGTGTCATGAGCCTGGGCCAGGAGCTGGCGCAGAAGGCCGCCGGCCTCCGTCAGCCAAGCCTTGCCAACACCAAGGACAAGCCCAAATACGTCCAGCACTCGCACACAAAACCACCTGCCATATCAAACTGAGAACATGAGCGCGGAGAAACACGGAGAATGAACTTGCTGGCACCATTTGCATGTTGCCCCTGCTTTGCCTCTTGCATCTCTTTGGCAATGTCCTGTCTGGCCACCGAAACCGCAGCATGAAGCAAATGCGGGCTAGGCAGATTCGCTCCGGAGTCCTTGTCAGTTTGGTGCTTCAAGAGTGCCGGCGGCTTTGAATAGCGCTTCAGGTCACCCAAGGAGTGCAAAGAGTAGATTGCATCTGGAATGCTGAACGTTGTCCCGGACAACCTGGGAAGGCGTGCAGGAACGCGAAAACGGAAGACTCGAGCCTACACAAAGTACCTGCCAGCATATGTGGCATGCAACAAAAAGGGGCGGATTGATGTTGGACAAGCTGCAGGAGCACTTTGGCTGTCTGCAGTGCCAAGCTGTACGACAAGCGGCCGAGTTCCTCCTTGGCTATGGATCCAGAACTTCCGAAAGAGGTTCCGATTATTTGTTGTGTATTGATGTTTTGCTTCACGGACGTGTATCGCAAAAAGAAGGTCGAGCCGAGAACCCAAAAACAAGCAAAAGGCAATACACGCATGCCCAAATGAAATGGGGAGTGTTTTGCTCAGTCATGTGGGGCAAGCTCGGAGTTCTCGCAGCAGGCACGGTCATGCTATTCACCTGCAAAAACATGTTCCACACCGACCCCCTGCCCAGCTTTGCCCCAACCTTCGGTTTTCTACCCATTCACCTGGGTCCCTCAAGTTGCATGGCTGCAGTCTGCGGCATATTTGCGACTCGTTGGTAGAAGTTTCGGGGCTCCGGTTTGGATGCACTACCAACTAGGGCACCGGGCGAGCGGGGCAAGTGGACCACAATCTGAACTTACTTTAAGCGCGACTGTCGGACCAGCGCGAGCCATGCTAAATCATGAAGAATCACAGCGCCCACCATGCATGGCTGAACAATTCGGAGTTCAAACCCTGCTGAACACGTCATAGACTCGGTAGCCAAAAACCGACACAAAGACTCATGCCTAACAGTGGAAGCTATCGAGCTGGACGTCGCTCCTCGAACCGTCTCGCACCGGGTCGCACGCCTGCTGCATGGCCTTCTTACGAAGGCCCGCATGTAATAGCCCGCAAAGAAGAAATAGCAGAAAAGCAAACGGCACACTCAGTTTGGCGACCTCGCCTCGGTTCCGGTCTCACGAGTACCGATTTTCGGCCTGCGTTGTTACAGAATTCACCATTCCCCCCCCCCCCCCCCCCCCCCCCCCCCCCCCCCCCCCCCCACCCCCCCGCCCCCGAACTGTGTATGGCCCTCCACCGAAAAAGCTTGTGTCCGAGCGAGGATGACGGAAACCTCCCAGTCTCGCCCTGCGCTTTAGATGGCGAAGGGCGCCCCCTTGCGCTTTACGACCTTTCGTTAGGAAAGCTTGTCGCAACTGCAAAGTCCAGAGCCATGCCGAGATCTGTATGATCTTTCGGGTCCAGAGTCTCTTTGCATCCGTATAGGATTACAAGAATTAAGAATTACCTGTACCTAAGATCAGCGGGCGTCCGCACCTGACCCAAGCGAAACTCAGCCATTTCGTTTCACCCAGATTCGCCCCGTGAAGCTGGGTGGACCCTGCCCACATCATTCTAGCTCAGGTCACCCCTGGCTATCCGCAGCAAAAATGCAGGAACAAGATGCGTTTTGGGTCAACTCTCAGAGCTTCACACGAAATGGCATCATGTGACATTCATAACTGATGTGTGCGCACCCAAAGCCTGCCCAACTCTACACGCCAATATTCACAAATGTGGGCTGTGAATCCTGAAGATTTTGCAAAAGATCCTAAAGCCAGAAAGGCTCCCGAGGTTCGAGAAGATCGCAAGACGGTTAAGGCTTCGATTAAAGTTCAACTGGTTTTTTCAGGACTGTGCACACCCGCTTGAGTGACTTGCGGAACTCTGAAAGCTTTTAAACTTTCGAACTTGCAGAACTTCCACCACATCGAAAAGCAGGTGACAGCTAACAGCAAGCTGTCAAACAGGTGCCGAAGCAAAATCCAACAGTCCTGCCGCGACAACCATGTGCGCACCACATCATACTATGCCAACAAGGTGCAAACAGCCGCCTTGCATCCTTCGCATCACGCAGACGCACTCTCAACAGCCTTGGCTACGATCATGAAGCACATTACGCCATGATTAGTTTCGTTTTGTTTTGTAGACTACTAGATAGCTGATTCCACCTTTGCTGGCATGCAGCACATTTTGAGATGTGACAGTCGATGCTATGCACAGCTCTGCCTGCAAGCACATGTGAGATGTGTATGCAACCTTTTTCGCAATGCCTGAGGGGGCCCCTTGGCAATGCAGCGGATGGAAAACATGGCGGGAGCCGAGGGCCTGAGAACACACGGCAATGCTGCAGCACAAGACGGGGAGCCAGACCAACCGGCTGGCATGGGACGACAGGCTTTGGGCTCTGGTGGCTAGAGTGGGTCTTGGAAAGACAGAGAGCCACCTCCCCCCTGGGATGGAAAATCTCCTCAGCGAACATCGACTGGAGGGGATGGTTGAAAGAAATCAAACTGCGGGAGTACAAGACGGAAATGCTGAAGAACCAGCGGATGGCCAAGCTCATTCGACGGCTGAGTTCGCCGTCCCAGCGGAGATTGCATGCGAACAATGGATGGGGAACGCGATGACCGTGCTTAGTGAGCCTTGCGCTCCCCACCTGGAAACGAGTCTTCCCGAAGCTGTTGAAGCCGCTGCTTATGGTGAGATCAGGGACCATCGCGAAGAGCTACTTGATGGGAGGACGAGAACTTCAGAAGAGGCTGATGTGCTCTTTCGATAGGAGCAACAGCAGCGACAGCGACGGCGACGGCGACGGCGGCGGCGACAGCGGCTGCGAGGACAAGAAGAACTTTGTGTCAAAGGCAGGGACCTGCAGATCATCTAAGGGCACGAGGAGCAGATTAATGCTGAATTGGCCACATAGGAGGTGAAACGTCCAGACACGGTCAGAAAGCAGAAGAATGGCCCGGAACACCCGCGCGTATGCACACACGCACACGGCACGCACGCACACCCGCAGTCACACACACTTGTGCACACACACACTCTCTCTCTCACACACGCGCGCACAGTCGCGCACATGAAACCAAACGGACACACGCGCACGCTCGTGAGCGCGCGGGCAAGTGCGCGCCCGTGCACATTTAGCACAAGGTGCTTGTCGAGCTCGTGTGCCACTTCAGCCAACATTTTGACGAACCTGAGCTTCCAAACCCCATTGCTGAAGAAAGGAAGTAGAGATGGAGCGGGACAGCAAGAAAGAGAGAGAGAGAGCGAGAGAGAGACAAAGAGACAAAGAGACAAAGAGACAAAGAGACAAAGAGACAAAGAGGCAAAGAGACAAAGAGACAAAGAGACAAAGAGACAGGGAGACAGCGAGACAGCGAGACAGAGAGACAAAGAGACAAAAAAACAGACAAGGAAAGAGACAAGGAAAGAGACAAGGAGAGAGACAAGGAGAGAGACAAGGAGAGAGACAAGGAGAGAGACAAGGAGAGAGACAAGGAGAGAGACAGACAAGGAGAGAGACAAGACAAGGAGAGAGAGACAAGGAGAGAGAGACAAGGAGAGAGAGACAAGGAGAGAGAGACAAGGAAGGGAGAGAGGGAGAGAGGGGAGAGAGGGGAGAGAGGGCAGAGAGAGGGCAGAGAGGGCAGAGAGGGGGAGAGAAGAGAGGGGAAGAGGGGGAGAGAGGGGAGAGGAGGGGAGAGGAGAGAGGGGAGAGAGGGGAGGGGGGAGAGAGGGAGGGGAGAGAGAGAGGGGAGAGAGAGGGGGGAGGGGGAGAGAGGGGAGAGGGGGAGAGGGGGGAGAGAGGGGGAGAGGAGAGGAGAGAGGGGAGAGAGGGGAGAGAGGGGCGAGAGGGGGGAGAGAGGGGGAGAGAGGGGAGAGAGGGGGAGACGAGGGGGGAGAGAGGGAGGGGAGGGAGGGAGAGAGAGGGGAGAGAGGGGAGAGCGGGGAGAGAGGGGAGAGAGAGAGAGGGAGAGAGGGGAGAGAGGGGAGAGAGGGGAGAGAGGGGAGAGAGAGAGGGGAGAGAGGGGAGGGAGAGAGAGGGGAAGAGAGGGAGAGCGAGCGGGGAGAGAGGGGAGAGAGGGGTGAGAGAGAGGGGAGAGAGGGGAGAGAGGGGGAGAGGGGAGGAGAGGGGGAGAGAGGCGAAGAGAGGGGAGGGAGGGGAGAGAGGGGAGAGAGGGGGAGAGAGGGGGAGAGAGGGGAGAGGAGGGGGGAGAGAGGGAGAGAGGGGAGAGAGGGGAGAGAGGGGAGAGAGGGGGGAGAAGGGAGAGAGGGGCAAGAGAGGGGAAAGAAGAGAGGGGAAAGAAGAGAGGGGAAAGAAGAGAGGGGAAAGAAGAGAGGGGGGAGAGAGAGGGAAGAGAGAGAGGGGTGAGAGAGAGAGAGGGGTGAGAGAGGGGTGAGAAAGGAAAGAGAGGGGAGAGAGGGGAGAGAGGGGAGAGAGTGCAGCGCAACAGAAACCAATCAGAATACCATCTCAGTCTAACTCATCCATGCAAGTAGTATCGTGAAGTCTGCACTGCATCTGTTGGTTGCTTCAGCTCATCGTCCATTCGGCACATTCTGAGTCTCCTGCGTGCCCTGTGGGATCCAGCTCTTCCCCCTTCACTCGCAAGAAGGTCTGTTCTTCATTTTTGATGCTTGAAGTGTTGATTCCTATGGGACCCACATCAGAAATATTGATTCCTATGCGACCCACATCAGTGCCATGCTTTACCAGCCTTGTGTTGATGTACAAATAACGATCAAAATGCAGGGATGGCAGGAAATAGAGTGCAGTCATGCTACTACAAGCAATAGCACGACGCAGAGCTCGGCAGCCTTACCCAACGTCACCAAGACGGTTTAGACGTCACAACCAAGCCGCACCTCCACTTGTCCTTCTGCACCATCAACTTGGAGCACAAGTTGCGGTATGCCTCCACCTCCTGCATCAAAGGGACTCGCACACATGTTCCGGACTGCAGTCAAAGACTTAAAGAGCTGGACAGGTGCTCTACCTGCAATCTTCCCACTTTATCCTGCGGCGCAGGAGTGGTATCGGCCGCATGCTCGCGCAGCCAGGTCTTGAGCAGCTCGCAGACCAATGTCTTTGGGTCTGCTTTAACCTCACAGTCTCTCGTGGTGTAACTTTGCACTGGCATGCAAGACCGTGTTTCACTGTCTTTTGCACCGTTGCCTTCCGTGCATTCTGGTACTTGAGGATCGTTTCAAAAGCCATCCTCACCTCCAGGGACCACGTCACGAGCTTGAAGAAAAACATGTCGGGGCAGCGGAACCCAGCAGTGGCGAAATTCAGTTGACACACGCTCGTCACGTTCATCTGGCTTCTTCAAGTCGATCGTCGACAAGACTGCAACTCTTTGACACTCAAGCCTAACGTCCATTGAGCCTAGCCAGCTTCCGAAGGACCCTGATTTGCCAGAGACTTGTTGAACCCACAGCATTAGATGCTGAAACCATTCCCTTCATACTGCTGCATCATCAAGAGCGGCTTCAGACTTACAAGGACATTGTTGTCCCTCGGGTGTCGCAATTGCCCACCTGCGGGTAGGCAGCGCTTGTCAGTAGAGGATGCAGCGTCGGCCAAACTTGGCCCTCCGCCTCTGTAGGTGCATCCCCAAAATGCAGGGGGGCCGGCTACATTGCACTTGTGAATCGCATTGTTTCCTGCAGATGCTGACTGGTTCATACTGGTTCTTTCCGGTAATTTTCAAATGTTTGTGAGGGGATGCATGTAATCCCCCCCCAAACCCTGGTTTCGGAACAGTTGGCTGCGAGAGTGTCCTTCGCTTGCTATGGCATGGATGCAGATGTTTTGGCAACACGTTGGTCATCCAGATCACCCTCGAAGACTTGCTTGTTCGTCCTTGCCATGTGTTGCTCCTCTCCACCAAGCGGAGACGCCCAAAGCTTGAATCAGATAAACACGTAGGTCTGCATGAAAAAGCACATCGGGTTCCGTCGCCCCCACGAAGGCTCCAAATCAGACCGCAGCAACGAAGCAGCCACGGGCCCGTTCGAGTCGGTGAAAAAGCTGCTCTCACTCAATATCTAAATTCCACTTCGGCTTGTGATCGTGAAGCAAAAAAACCTCGATCAATATCTAAATTCCACCCCCCCCCCCCCCGGTACTTCTTCGAATGAAGCGAAAAACAGTCAAACCACCACGTGTCATAAAAAAGGGGAAAGACGAAGTTACAACGAGAAAAGATTACAGAATATCCCAATGCACCACCCCTCGCAAAGTATGTAGCAACAGTAAGATCGGATGCTGTATGCAAACTCCTTTACAAACCTCTTTCGCCGGCTCGAAAGGGCTCTCCGGGGTGGCCTCTTGGGCCTCGTGGCCCGGATGGCATCGGCCTCTGCTTCGCGACGCGCGGCGCAAGGCAGGCGAGGCAAAGTTCGGTCCAAGGCCTTGCAGCTCAGTCCCCGGTCCCGGAACGATGTTCAGGGAACAGTGGCCGGGGTCAAGGAGTGCAACCACCAGGCCCTCCGTACCGGAAAGCACACGTTCGGGATAAGGGGTGGTGGATGCAGAGCTGCGCGCGAAACCGCAATTTGGATTCCTCGGGCGAGGCAACAGGGCTTGGACTGGGAGCGACCGCGCCGAGGCAAGGCTGAGTCACGTCCGTCCTCTCACAAGGAGAGGCAGTCGCCTCCGGGGTAGGGGTGCTGAGCAACCACAAAAGGGGGGTCCCAGCAAGGGACCGACGAGGAAGCGCAATACCAGGAGAGAGAGAGAGAGAGAGAGAGAGAGAGAGAGACAGAGAGAGAAAAAAAAAACAGGCTGGCCAGTATGTCTCAGTAGACCGGGCAGCGCAAAACCCCAAAGCTGAGCCTTTCCAAAACAGATCGCTTACGTTTTCCCAGTAGGGCGTTTGGCCTTGTCCCAGTTCGGGCCTTAGCGTTCTGTGATTCGGGCTCATGCGTTGTTTGATTGAGGTCTGTATGGTCTGTGTGTTTTCTGACACAGGTGGCCTGATTCAGGCTGCAGTTTTTTCTGATTCGTGCTTCACACCTGTGGTTGTGATCTGCTTTTCACTCTGTGTTGGGCAATGAGGTCGTGTCCAACATAAAGCAAAGCACCGGGTCCTGGAAGGAGCTGGGAAGCTGCATCTTCTCCAGGCCCAAGCTTTGCTGCAAAGCCTATCAATCTCAAGAAATGTTCAGCTACAGCCACCTGCACAACTTCAACTAAGTTTTGAGACGCAATGTATGGCTGCGCAACACCGTCGACCAAGAACATGCAAGAAAGTTCTTCCGCTTCCGTTGCACACGATCCAAGCATCCCATGCTGATCTGCGTGCCTCCTGCACAACTCCAAACCTGCCGGTTTCGCCATATTCGGCAAAGCTGCAAGTGTGGTCACAGCATCTCAGCCCACTAACACTGTTCAACTTTCAATCACAGTTCCACTGCAACGTCTACACGCAATTACTCTATTCTTAGGTAAGCTGTGCTTGGTAGAAATGAAAGTTGCGGGCAACAAGGAGGACAACACGAGCCACTTAATGTTGCCCAGGTGCTGCTGTCTGTGGGTTGCATCCTTGTAGCTGTCCGCCTCGTCTGACCAGGCAGATGCCGGTAAGAGCGTCATAGATTCAACTTGCGCACCAAAGCCAACCAACGCTGCAGCCCGTCCTATGGCTCAGCTTACATCCACTGGCCCTGTGTCATTTGGGTGCTTTCATCTTCCACGTCCATGTCAGATCGGACTCCAGTTCTTTTTGTGCTCCCCTCGCAAATTAGCCAACAGCCGGGGCCCAGGCAAGTCCTTTGAGGTAAAAGCCACTGGCGACCACACCAGCGCCCAGCGCCGCGCCGCCGGCAGCAGCGAGCACCTGGTCTTGACAGCTTTACTCAGGATTTGCTCAGGCTTGCCTCTGTTCAGACAATTATGATGCTTCTCGACCGGCTTGGCCCGGCTTGGCACCTGGGTTTCACCACCTCCGCCACCCCCTCCCAGACAGCGCAGCAGCTCCATGGGTCAGGACACGAGTGCACCCAACCAACTAACAAGTTGGGCTTCATGGCAGTCTCTGTAGTTTGCAGTTTTCTTGTTGCTGCTTTTGTTGTTTATTTTGCCTTGGTTCAAGAATGCGCAACCTACGACGGAGCCTGGATAGGAAACGGCCGAAGTTGTCCAGCAACAGGCTGCAAGACTGCATACTGCAGGACCTGGTGTCCGCCCGGTACACCAAACACGGATGATGCAAAGAGCCAGCATACATCCGCCCAAGGCGGAAGGCTTTGCAGGGAAGGGTCCGTCAGAAGTCGCGAAACCTAAACCCTGAACCCCAAACCCGAATCCCGAGAACCCTGAGTCCAACCTCGTTTTGGGGTTTAGTGCTTGGGCTCATGGCGTTTTTGCTGACGCTCTTTGGGTGATTTTAGTGTCAATTTAGGGCCAGTTTAGGGTTCGGGCCTTCAAGGGTCTAGGTATGAAATCGTGATGCGAACCGAAGTGGCGTTGAGAAGCTTTTGGGGCAAAAGCTCCTGAACCTGATACCCAACCCTGTCCGCAGATCAACCCTGAAGCCCCCTCAGCTCCAAACCTCAAATCCCTATGCCCTTTACGTCCCTTAAACCCAAAAAGTTCGCAGGTTCGGGCTCCGTGGGTTCAAGGCCTAGGGCTTCCGTCAGCCATGTAGCGTTCTTGCGCATTCAGGGTTCATGGTTCAAGGTTTAGGGTTCGGGGTGTAGAGTTTAGGATTAAGTTTAGGGCGACGCGTTGCGCGTCGGCGCAGGCTGCCGATAAAGCGAAAGCGCGCTTTTGCAAACCTTGATGTTTAGAACGTTCAGTTCAGTGTTCCAGAAGTTATCGCTGTGAGGCCCGGGCGCACGTCCCTCAAGCACAGAACATGGCCGACTGAGCCCAAACGGCATCACGCATGTCGTCGTAGGAACCATCATACAACAGCTCGCGCAGAAGCTGTCAAAGGAGAGTGAGATCACGGCATCCGTGGCTAGGGTTGAAGGTCTACAGGTGTCTGCACTGCAGGGTCAACTGACAACTCTCGCCCGGTACTTCGGCCCTTGAATCCACATGAACAGATGACTACTACCACTACCACTACCACTACCACGACCACTACCACGACCACTACGACTACTGCTACTGCTACTGCTACTACTACTACTACTACTACTACTACTACTACTACTACTACTACTACTACTACTACTACTACTACTACTACTACTGCTACTACTACTACTACTACTACTACTACTACTATGCCAGCCTGGCTGCTGGATTGAGACCTTGGACCTGGGCATCTTGCACATGTGCACCTGGGAGTCCTGCCAGCCTGGCTGCTGGATTGGGACCTTGGGCCTGGGCAAAACCCCAAACACCCCAAGACCCCAAAAACTCCAAAACCTACCAAAAAGCTCACAAAGAAGCTGTCTTTGATTCAGCAATCTGCAGTGAGAGGTTATCGAGCGCTGACAGTGGGGGGGGGGGAGCAGCTGTGCTGCAATTCTGGTCGCAGTGCTGGCCAGTTGCGACGAGTGATGCTCAGAGGATCACTGCATCGTCACTTGATGCTTCAGGGAATGTCAAAAAGAAGAAGTATGAACCATGACAGACTTGTCTTTGATCTGAGTCCGTTGCCTTCAGTGATCGCCGGCGGTCGTCCGTCGACTGCCACTCCGACGTCGGTGTTGACCTCCAAATAGTGCGGTAATGGCCGCTATACGGGGTAGAGCCAATGTGCAAAAACACAGGACTGCACGTACGCCCTTTCGGTGCGTATGGAGCCTTCATACAGTACGGGAACCTGGAGCTCTTGACTGTAGGCCGTGATAGGGAAGTGATTTCTACCCGAACCTGTAAATCTTGCCACTGTGAAGATAGCGTGCCTCTGCTGCCCCATCAGAGTTGTGTTTGGGGGCACCGAAGCCCACTCGTCAATTAAGGATTGCAGTGGCCTGCTGGCCGGCCGAGTGTTGCATGAGCATGATGAGGGGTCCTCCCTCCACCGCCAAACTCCCTGTGGTCAGATCAACTGTTGCCCATCTACGCGTTAGAGGGAGCTCAGAAGCAGCTGCCAGGAAGCTCTGCAGGAATTCTGCCGAGTCTTGCTGCGTGCCATCAAATCTCCATCTTGGCAGCAGGCTCCTAAGCGGGAATGAGTTGATTAGGTTGAGGGGGGATGCAGCACTGGACTGTGCCGAGTTCGAGAGGAGGCTCAGTAGCGGTTGAAGTGATCGCAGTGATGGATCCAAAGTGGTAGTGGCTAGCATAGCCTGCATAGCTGCATTGACATAGCAGTAGTTGGAGGTGTTCTTGAGTGCAAGAGCGGCAACCTGAGAAGAGGAGTGGGAGAAGCTCGAATCTTGGGGAGCATCTCCCAGGATCGCTTCCTGCGTGGCAACTGAAGCACGAGAGCCAAGTGGGAGAGGAGAGGAGAGAGCAGGAAAGGAAGAGGAAAAGAGGGGAGGAGAAGCACACGCTGCAGTCCTGTCGAGGGGGGAGGGCTTTGTTTCGGCAGAGATTTAGGCTTGGCAGCTGATGGCACTGGGGAATTTGCTGCGTTGAAGAATGACTGCAGTGGTCCCGTAGTGGTCCTGGTTATCTGCAACACTGAGTCGCCTTGCAGGATTTGAAAGAGTACTCCACACTGCGCCGGGCGCTTACGCCTATCAGTAACATTCTTACTGCAGAAGGGGCATGGTCTGCCTTTGAGGATTTCGGTTCCGAGCTTCTGGCACTGTAGCATGGTGCTCTCTTGCAGGGCATCCCAGATCCTGCGATGCTCCTGATGCAGGTGCGATTTGACCTTGGTATGATCAGGCGTCCAGAATCCACATAGCACACAATGGTCCACAAAGTGCTTGGGAGCTGGCTGTCGAGCAAGTTGCGTGGCAGTGTGCGTGCCAGCTGTGCTGGTCAAGTGTTCGCGTGACCAGGGATGCACTGACTCGGTCAGACCGACTTTTTCTTGCAGTGCTGATTGCTGGGCATTTATTCTTCGTAAGGCTTCCGACTCTGTGCAAGCTCCGGAGAGGAGGTGGTCCTTCAGTCCCTTCCAAAGAACAAAGTGCTTATGGCACGCTGCGCATGTTGGCAGTCCATCCTTCGAGTGTTCTGGCAAGAAATCAGTTGGAATGTATCGGTCCAACTTGTCTCTATGCATCTTGGCTTCGTGTATACGTAGCCCTTGCTCGGTTGAGGTCTGATAGGAGCAATGCTTGCAGCAATGTTTCGCCTCTGTCTCAGCGTTGGTTGCAGCCAGCAAGGTCTCATACTCAGTAAGGACTTCTTGCGCATACTGATGAGCCTTTGGGAGCAGCGCTGCATCTTGGTTGCTGAGCGGAGGCTGTGCATCCCTGTTTGCCGCTTGCTGTGCAGCGGGACTTGTTTGAGATTTCTGTCGTTTCCTTAGCGATCGGACTCGATTGCTCTGGCGTTCCAATAGCAGTTGAACTGGATCTTTAATTCCAAAGTCGGAGTACAGCTGTTTCGTCGATATGCCCGTGAGATGGACCGGTTTGTTGAGGACCGCTCTATGGCATACCAACTGCGCAATTGCTGAGCTGTCTCCGTTGTGAGTCCTATGTCCACCAAGCCTGCTGAGACTGTTGCCCAGACGGTGGTTTGCCAAATCTTCAATCTGCTTTTTGGGCCCGAGAATCTTCGGCTGTGCACGTATCTTCGGACCTGTTGCAGCTTAGCGTTTCCTTCTTGCAGTCTGTAGTCTAGCGTCGCCTTCTCCTGGTTACCATAGGACACGTACACTCCAAGATACTTGAAAGATGAAGATTGTGGAAAGGATTCTTGGGCATTGGTGCTCCCTATTCGCCATGTGCGGAATTCTTATTTTTTCTGAAGAGTTTTTGCGCTCGGGCGGAAGCAGTGCCCATCAGCTTAACCATCAAGTTCACCTTGAAGCCGTATTTCCTCCCAATTCGTAGGAGATCAGCTATCATGGTGTGTGCCTGCATCAGGTCTTTCCAGCTGGCGATGTTGCAATGAACAGTCAAATCATCTGCGTATCCTGCCAAGCAGTGCATCACGCGATCCCAGCCTACCACCTCAGCGAGTTCACGAAATAGCTTTCCTGTCAGCATGGAGAACAAGGCAGGAGCTAGTTTACAGCCTTGCTTTATGCCTGCTGTGGATTCAACTGAGCATGAAGTCGGCTGGGATCGCGCAGTGTATCTGCTGTCAGAGTGCAGAGATGCCACTAAGCCCTGGATGTCGGACGGTACCCCAGCTTCCTGAAGAGTGTCCATGAGGTCCTGTCGACGCACCATGTCAAAGGCTTGTGATAAGTCGAGCGCATAGCAGATCCCTCCCACCAACTCCGGCTTGCGCTGTCCAGCATGCAGGGAATGCCTGCTTAGTCGCGATTGGGCACAGATGCTTCTTACCTCTCTGGTGTGCTTCGATACCCTGGAGAGGGCATCAGACATCCCTTTCTAAGTCGGGCCACCAGACTGCCCTTTCAAGCAGCTTGACGGTAACCTCCGCGGACCACCGCGACGCTGACAGTCTGACCTGTCCTGGAGTCACTTCGCGTTCCAGCAACCCGTCGCCGGAGATCTTCATCGACGGCTCCGGCTTGCGAATCGAGCCCGCCAGTGAAGGATCGCGCCGCTGACCCTCGTACCACGCAGTACGAAGAGATCCTGTGACCCGGAACTCCGAGATGTTCGCCGCGTCTCTGGCTTCGACCGCGAGTCTCTCGGCGAACCTCGTCCTCTCCGACCAAGGCGAGAGTAGGCACAGCGCCCCCAAACTCGACCTTAACTTTTTGGTAGAGGAGTGGTCGCAAATGCACAGGACTGGGCTATGGCTGACGAGCTCTAGGACCGTCGCTGGGCCTCTGTGATCGTCGCCCAGGATCAACAAAACTCTCTCCTTCAGTTCTCCCCCTTTAGGGCCTTCCTCGCGGCTGATAGCGCCCACGGTCCAATGCCCTTCTACGCTATCGCCAAGCGCAAAGAATTGAACCAGGACACCTCCCGCCGGTGCAC